TCTCCCTTCATATGAGACTTAGAAACATAGAGCTGGAAGGGACCTCAAGGGTCATCTAGTCCAGCCCCATGCACAATGCAGGGAATCCACAACTACCTTAATCCCAAACAGGCAACGGGTTTAATATGATGATCCTAAGGGTGGACAAAAACGTTTCTATGAAATTCCCAAAGTCCTTAGTATTTGCTATTTTGTAAAATTGGAATATCCCAAAGAAGATTCAGGAGTTGCTGCACGAGCTTTTCCAATGCTTTTTATACAGCACACAAAAAAGTACTTTGTGTAGCAGAAATGTCTGCAACTTGAGCGTGTGTGTGCTCCCCCTTTACAAATTGCTTTTCAGATACTACATTGGAAATGCAGCCCCAAGACTGGTCCGAGGGTGCATGAAAAGGTCTCAGCCTGGCAAATGCTTGGATAGGAGATTACTTGAGATCCAACTTAAGCTTCTCAAAGGAAGTGTGAGATATTTGTTGCAATAAATAAATAAAATAGAACGTTCACAGCTGCTCCAGGTATGGCCATAATTTATTCTATAAGGAGCTGGAAACAGACTACTTTGATGATGAGGCTGCTAGTTTTTATTTTCCAAAAGATATCAGTAAAATGTCCATATCTCATACTTTATATGGGGATGAAAATACCATTAAACATACAAAAGAAAACTACAGAACTAGTATCTTCCTGCCTTAAGCCATCCCAGAGTTGTGTAGAGGCCACAGAGAAGCCTTACAGTGACACCTTCTGGCCAAAAATATTACACCACAGTTGCTTTGGCTAACATATCAGGATCGACTTCCTAAATAAATACAAGGCCTCCTAGACAGGATCAGCTACTGACCTCTGCTTTTTTCAAATGGCAGGTCCATTCTCTGCCTTGCATATGTGTCTTTTACAGTGAAATAAATGGAATCTATACCTAAATAACTGTGTTTAGGACAATGCTCTGAAGATGTAGCCTAGGGTTGCCAAGGATTTCAAATAATTCCATCCAATCTATTCAAGGCCACTTGGCATCCTGGAGGGGATACTTACAAGAGGAGTTACCACTCTGGTTTTAATAAAACATTTGACCACTTGCTCATCTTTGTATTTTCAGTGACACGCTTCCGTTTTTGTTTGTTTGTTTCTTCTTTTCAGCAAGCCAGGGGTGCAATAGTATTAGATACTAGGTAGTTACGATGTGCCTATGTTACTCCAAAGTGGTGCAACTGGAATGGCACTCCTTTTTATGGTATGGGACATAAATATTAAAAAAATTATATGGTAAGAAGATCATTACTGACAACGTGGGAAAAGATTTGTCTGCTGATATATACTAAAATTCCAAGATAGGTGTCTCCAGTGGAAGCTTTTTCCTCAACCAACTTTAACTTCAAAACGAGCAGTTATTAGATATGTAGAATTGTTAGATGATGAAAATAATTTAGAATCTCAGGAAGAATGAAAGAGAATGAAAAACACTTGGTGGACTAGAATGCAAGTGGAATCTAGATACAGTGAGGATAAACAGACAGATGGATTCTATTCAGAACAATGTACATTTGAAAAATTATTATGTACTTCAAGAGAGAAACTTATTAAGAAAATGTATGATATGCTGATGCAATTGAAAATGCAGGACAAAATAATTAGATGGTTAGATGGATGCAAAATGTGGGTTATAACATCAATCTGTCACAGTGGAGTAAAATATGGAAAGTGAATATTAAGTTGACTAAATTTTTGTTTAAAGAAAATTTATATAAAATGTTCTATAGATGGCATCTGACCCCAGATAGATTGGCTAAAATGTATACAAACTTGAGTAATATGTGTTGGAAATGTAATATTGGGTCATACTATCATATGTGGTGGATATGTAAAAAGGTTCATAAATTCTGGATTGAAGCACATACTTTTTTACAGTTAATCCTGAATGTCACAATACCTCTTAAACCAGGGATATTTTTGTTAAATTGTTTACCAGATGAGTTAGATAAGAATCATAGATATTTTATATAACAGCTACCGGAGTTTTATTTGCAATGACATGGAGAACATTGAAGATCCCAAGGCTACATGAGTTGATATTGAAGATTATGGAATGTGCTGAAATGGACAAGTTGACAAATATATTAAAAGGAAAAATGGAAGAAGAATTTATGGGACCCTGGAAGGCATTCTATGACTGGTTAAAACAAATATTAAAAAATAAGATTAAGTGAGGAATAATAAGAATGATAGATGAAGTAGTTGTGAAATTGTAATGAGAAGATATGCATGCAGAATGCTGTTGGAATTTTTAAAATATTTATGTATTTTTCTCATTTTCATTCTTTCCCCTTTCTGTATATAAACTAATAAGAAAGAAAGAAAGAAAGAAAGAAAGAAAGAAAGAAAGAAAGAAAGAAAGCCCCACCCGTCCTTCACTCTGAGTCTCAGAGTGGTTTACAATCTCCGTTCCTTTCCCTTCCCCACAACAGACACCCTGTGAGGTGGGTGGGGCTGAGAGAGCTCTTGACAGAAACTGCTCTTTTCAAGAACACCTCTGACAGAACTATGGCTTGCCCAAGGTAATCCAGCAGCTGCGAGTGGAGGAGTGGGGATTCAAACCTGGTTCTCCCAGATTAGAGTCCGCGTATTTAACCACTACCCCAAATTGGCTCTCACCAAACTGATTTGACAGGGTTTGGGAAATAGGTCGCTACGCGGAGGAAGGCAATGGCAAACAAGCTCTGCTCATCTCATGCCTGTGGAAGGGGCCCCCCTGAGTCAGTTGCCGCTCCTGGGCATCTTCTTTTTCTTCTTGTTTCTTTGCTAATGACTCATAGATTAGGAGGGCTTTTCAATCACAGTTTGTGCAAACAGTTCTTTCGTTTAGATCTTCACACACCCAGCAGAGTAACTCCACAGTAAAACTGGCATAATAGAAACAGAAAATTGCTGGGATATTAAGGCTTTCTTAATGATGATTCTGGATCTGCTACACCAGATTTTATTGGTATATAACGCACCTTATAGTACTGCAACTTCTAGAACATACAGCTGGAATTGTTAAAATGCTGATCTGCAGACCGGAAGGTCTGTAGTTCAAAAGTTCAAGACCCTAGTGCCACCTGATGGAGTGAGCTCCCATCTCTGGCCCCAGCTCCTGCCAACCTAGCAGTTCGAAAGCAAGAAATTGGAAGTAGATAAACAGGTACTGCTTTGGTGGGAAGGTAACAGCATTCCGTGCGCCTTGGCCTTTAGTCATGCCGGCCACATGGCAATCTTCAGACAGCACTGGCTCTTTGGCTTGGAAACGGAGATGAGCACCACCCCCTAGAGTCGGATTCAACTGGCTTTCGAGCAAGGGAAACCTTTACCTTACCATTTAGGCGTGTGCAGATCCCAAGGCTGAACATTTTGTGTACCTACCACCAGTGTTCCCTGTAAGCTGAGTTAGTGTGAGCCAGCTCACAGTTTTTTAGCCTCCGGCTCACACATTTTGGGCTTCGCTCAGGAAGGAGGGCTCCAGAGCAGACTAATTTATGCAGTAGCCAAATTGCTCGCTCACAACTTGAATGCCAGGAGCTCACAGAGGAGAATTTTTGCTCACAAGACTCTACAGCTTAGAGGGAACATTGCCTACCTCTACCATCTATTACATATATGTTTACTGGAAAATACATTCCGACACTTGACTTATAAACTTTTGAAACTCAAACTGTTCATAAACTGGGAACTTCCTGTATTCTAGTTCAGAGTGGGTTGGGTGGGAAAGGAATAAAGGAAGTCTGCCTGTTTCTGTGGTTCTTGACTTTTGCTCAGAGCCCTAGAATCACTAAAACAAGGGTTGTCAATCTCAAGGTTGTGGCTGGAGATCTCCTGGGATACTGATCTCCAGGCAACAGAGATCAGTTCACCTGGAGAAAATGGCTGCTTTGGAAGGTGGATTCTACTGTTTTATACACCTCATTGAGGTCTCTCCTGACCCCAAATCTCGCCCATTTCAGGCTCCACCCGATCTCGAGGTATTTCCTAACCCAGAGCTGGCAACCCTACTGAAGATTTCTGTTTATTCTTATTTGAAAGCAATTCAGAGGCAATGCAACTTAATTTAGACAATTGGCCACTAGGGTTCCCAGCTCTGGGGGAAGTTCCTGAAGATTTTGGAGGTGGAGCCTGAGAAAGATGGGGTTTGGAGAGGGGTATAATGCCATAGAGACCAAATTCCAAAGCAACCTTTTGATCCAGAATAATATGTCGGCTGGAGACCAATTATACTACCAGGAAATCTCCAGCCACCACCTGGAAGTTGGCAACCACACGGAGGCTCTCCCCGGGTTAAAAACGGCCTCTCTGACATCCGCCTGTGACTATAGAAGAAGAGATTGGATTTATGCTCGGAGTCTCAGAGCACCTTACAAACTCCTTTCCCTTCCCCTCCCCACAACAGACAGCCTGTGAGGTGGGTGGGGCTGAGAGAACTCTGACACAAACTGCTCTTTTTCAAGGACAGCTGTGCCAGAGCTTGTGACTGACCCAAGGTCACATCAGCAGGTGCAAGTGGAGGTGTGGGGAATCAAACCCGGTTCTCCCAGATTAGAGTCCGTGCACTTAACCACTACACCAAACGATAGAAACCACTGGGGGACTGCAGGAGGAGAAAAGCCAGCGGAGACGGTGATGAGACCGCTACTTGAGTCTAGCGAGTGTAGGGATTAGAGCATCGCAGTCCTTGCCGACACTTCCGGTATCAAAACAAACTCCCTTTTCCACTTGAATGCCATAGGAAGCTTTTATAATAGACGGAAGAAGCGGCGCCACTCCACGCCCGCAGAGAAGCATTGCGCGTGGCGGAGTTCGACTTTTAATGGGAAGTTTATGTTGGATATGGCGTTAGTTCTTCGCCTTATCTCTATGATATGATAAGAACCCTCCTTCCCAAAGTGCCGGCCGGGCAAGGTTCTCACGTGATGGCCTCGGGGGCAGTCATGTGCTCAGGTTGTCACGTGATCACTTGAGGCTGAGGCGAGCCGAAACTTAGAGGGGAAGATGGCCGGGCTGGAGGAAGAGGAGCAGGCGCTGTTGGGCGAGGAGCCACCGGCGGAGCATGATGTGCCCCCTTCGCGGACGCCGCTCTCGGCGCTGTGCGACCCGCAGCGCCTGGCTCATCGGCTGGTGGTCCTGGCGCTCATGTGCTTCTTGGGCTTCGGTGAGCGAGTGCGGCAGGACCGAGCGGGAGTTGCTCTCCTTGGGCGATGATGAACTTGTTGGCGTTTAGGGCAAAATAGTTAGTTAAGCCAGCTGGGAGTGAATAAGTGTTAGTCTGGGTACCACTTTTCTAGCAAAGCGCGTCTTCATTGAGCGAGTGGGGAGTGTGCCGGGGGGGGGGGGGGGGTTCTTCCTGGAAGTCTGACAGACTTCATATGGTGCGGCAAGAACTTACTTAAGGAGCCTTGTTGGGATTCTGCCGGGCAGCCTGAATTCTACAACGGGAGCCATTCATTCGAGGAGCGTGGGTTGAAGTGGACGGTGTTTGGTAAAACCGGAGGGTACTGATGGAACTACGATAATTTGCGCCCGTCTTGGCAATTTATTGGCAAAAGAAAGAGGAAGTAGTACAAAACACCGAGAAGGAAAGTTCATTGGTGGGTGGTGGCTTGATAGTTGCGGGAGCTGCATTTTAAAAATCCTCCTCCCTTCCCCCATTGGGACTTGAATTCTGTGAATTCCTTTAAAAGTATGTGTTGTTTCCTGTGTATCAGGGTAAATCTTGTGTTTCTCATTTTAAATTAATCTATCCAGTGTGGCAATCATTTGAAATGTGGTCTTGGAAGAGAGTTTTATGGACACAGTGGACTGCCAAAAAGACAAATAAGTATTTTTCTACGAAATGACCCCTGGACAGCGGTACCAGCTCTGGGTAGTGGACTGCCAAAAAGACAAATAAGTGGGTTTTTGTTAGGGTTACCTGGTCTAGGTGGGGAAATACCTGAAGAGTTTGGGGGTGGAGCCTTGAGAGGATGGGTTTTGGGAGGGGAGGGACTTCAGCAGTGTACAATGCCATAGAGTCCACCCTCCAAAGCAGCTATTTTCTCCAGGGGAACTGACCTTTATTGCATAGAGGTCAGTTGTAATAGTAGGAGATGTCCTGGTCCCACCTGGAGGTTGGCAACCCTAATTCTCAAATCAATCCTGCACTAAAATGACTGAACTGAGGCTATGAGAAGACGAGGCTCATTGGAAAAGATAGTAATGTGAAGAAAAGTTGAAGGTATCAAGGAAAGACCCAACATGAGATAGATTGATTCAAAGGAAGCTACAGCCTTGATAAGTAGGATGCAACTTGATGGCTCTTACACACGCACACACTCTGGCAAATTAATGCAACAGTAGTGAAGTGTCTCAATTTAGACAAGGGCACTGTACAAGCACAAACAAATACATCAGGTTCCTCACAATTCCCTTATAATCTGCTTTTCTTGCTGAGACTCAAAGCAGGCTACACATTTTTAAAAAGCAGTCCAATAAAGTTGGATTACAAAATTTTAAAGAACTCAGCAATAACAGTATAATACATACAATGACCAATGCAATGAAAACTGCCTTAAATTTTCACAGACATTAAAATTTCAACTGCATTTCCTTTATAAAAAGGCCAGAGGACTTCTGCTTGCATTTAGTTTAAGAAACCCATTCAACTTCCTCTTTGAAAACTGAATTATTTTACTTTCATGATAAGCAAAGTAGGAAGTTTTTTGGCCAAAAATTTATGATGTCTTTAAATACGATGAAGATTAATTATTGCTGTTTTAAGCCTTTTCAAGATCTGAAATGCTTTACAGTACTTAATTTCTATCTCTTACATTTCTGTACAGGCAGCTATTTCTGCTATGACAACCCAGCAGCTCTGCAAACTCAAGTTCAAGGGGTGAGTGGAAAAAATGTCAATATGTGTTCACCTTTTTTCCTTGTCCAGAAATTTTTTTTTAGAAGTTTCATTTACATCTGTAGAGCTGGATAAAAACCAGCTTTTCCCCACACCCGGTTAAAATGCTTGTTTTAACAAGTGAGGGTTTAAAGCACTCTGTAATAAGTCCTCATCTTCGTTTTCTGGAACTGAACCAATTACAGAGTGCTTTAAACCCTCACTGTTCAAACTTGCTTACATTTGGTGATAAATTTGTGTAAAAATGGAACTCTCGAAGATGTGTACACACTTCCTATTGAATGTGAAGCTGTGTACATATTTCTTATTGAATCAATGATTGGTTCCACCTAAGCATCATAGAGAAGCAACTGTTTTTTAAAATTTAGATACTAGCTGAGCTAGACTTAACAAATATGCAGCTTCTGAGGGTGGTTCTCTCCTTCAGGTAATGGTTTGTTATTTCCAAAGCTGCCTTAAAGATCATGACTTCTCTTCAGTCAGGTTATCCCAAGGCTCCTGTTTCCTTCTGAGAAAACAAAAATGCCACATTATTGCATTACTTGCTCTCTTGGTTTCAAAATAGTAGGAGAGAGAATGCCAGAGAGTCAGACTCTTGTCCTGGTTTCTAGTTTTTTACCTAGAAAAGGAGGGAATTCAGGGAATTCAGATACTGTAAAGGGCAGGGTTGTTTCAATACTGAGAGCACATGAAGCTGTGTTATACTGAATCAGACCCTTGGTCCATCAAGGTCAGTATTTGGATTGGCAGTGGCTCTCCAGGGTCTCAGGCAGAGGTTTTTTACGTCATCTGCTATCTGATCCTTTCCACTAGAAATGCCTGGGATTGAACCTGGGAGTTTCTGCATGCCAAGCAGATGCTCAGCCTCTGAGCCATGGCCCTTCTGAGCACAGTAGTAGAGGAAAGGGAAAATTATAGGTAGCAGTAAAAATGAAAGGAAGAGAGAAATAGGCAAGCAGGCTATTTTCAGGGCTGCTTTACATGGTGCTCATGGTAGTAAAATTCTGTTTTGAGTGATTTGGAGGAAAGAGAGGCTATGAATATAATAAAGAAAAAGAAATACATTAAAAAAGGGATAAGGCTTCAACAAGGGGAAGTCTCTGTGAAAACATTTCTTTACAGGCCGTTTCCTTTATTCTGATGCAAAAGGCTGATTTCTCCTACTCATGTGGGCCATCCTCTTCCAGTTCTGGTGGCTGCTGGGACAGTGAAATAAGATATTTAGGAATCCTGATCCAAGTGGTTATCTTCTGGAGTGGGTAGGGTGGAGATACAACCCTGATGGAACTCTGGATTAGACATTTAGCATAGTGATGAAAAGCAGCTTCATTTTTTTAAAAACATTTTATTATCGGGTCACAACAACATGTCCAATATTATAACATTCCCTCATTTCTATTATAGCCCTTTCCCCTCCCTCCCTCCCTCCCCTTCTCCAGGCTTCCCGCAGTGATCCCGCCCCTACCTAGTTTCATTTTTTGTCTAATCCTTCCTCCTAAAACAAAGTTGAATATGTAATTATTATTTTAACTACCTTTTTCATATATTCTGTCTCATAGGTAACATTTCTTTAACTACCATCGTCTTCTGTTCAACTCTTTACACCTTCTATTCTTAATAATTATTAAAGCACAATAAGTTGTTCTTAACATCCCAGTATTTCTCTAGATACTCTTTAAAGTCCATCCAGTCTGCAAAAAACTCTTCATCTTCTTTGTTGTTAAGTTTCCTTCTCAATTTGTCAATTTCTGCCATAGAAAGCATTTTTCTAATCCATTCCCAAACCTCAGGTACTTGGTCTTCAGTTGATGGATGTTCCCATGTGAGTCTTTTGTAGCTAAAGTCATGCTAAAAGGGTTTTTTTTTTTAATGTACTTTTCCATTTAGGATATGAAAGTGAACACTGCTCAGTTTATGGCATTGTATGCCTGGTATTCCTGGCCAAATGTGGTCCTCTGTTTCTTTGGAGGCTTTCTAATAGACAGAGTATTTGGAATAAGGTAAGTATTGTTCAAAATAATCCTTGTTCGAAATAATATAATGCTGCCATTTTAATTTTGAAAAATTATTGTGAGATAAGGTGATGATTTTCTTAGATGGGATGAACGAAAGCCTTTCAGCCTCTGGAGCACAGTGGCTGTGAGAATCAGCTGTGTTGTTACCGGCCTACATCACAAGGCTTTTTATTATTTTGTTTAGAATGTTTATAGGCCACCTTTCCACTTTTGAGATGTCTGTTCAGGAAGTTAAAATATGAAATAAATCTTAAAGACCAGCAGAAATTAAGTAAACCATGTCAGCAAGAAAGCTCAGGGGTAGAAACAGCAAGTGGTCTTTTACTTGCCTCAAAAGTCCATTGGGATAGTACTAATGTCAGCTCATTGGGGAGGGAATTCCAAATCGAGGGAAGGGTGGTTAAAAAATCCTCCCATGGAATCCAGGCAACTTAACCTCAGCCCTGACTGGTTTCCCCAGGAAGGCATCACGTGTAGGTCTCAAAACCTTCCATGAGGAACTTTCATGTGTGGGTCTCAAAAACTAGGCAGTCCTTCAGGGACTCTGTAACTAAGCCATTTAGAGTCAAAACCAACACTTTCAATTGAACCCTGAATCAAGTGGACTGCCAGAGCAGCTCAAGTGGCTTTGACTTTTTTATGATCATTCTTGCATAACCCTGTAAGGAACCTCACAGTTGGTACCAAAGTTTCCAAACTATCTTCAAGGGTAGCCCCACGCAGAGCATGTTACAGTAAACTAATCTGGATGGTCGTGAGGCATGTGTGATTGCAGCTAGGTCAGCTTTCTCCAGAAATGGCTGTGGCTAATGCACTAGCCTTAGCTGCTAAAAGACACTCGTGTTCCTTTAGGCAGCCACTGCCCAAAGCCAGTGTGGCATCTAGAAACTCCCCTAAAGTGTGAACCTTATTCCTTAACCAAAGCACTCCTGTTTTATCTGGATTAAGATTAAAGCTGATGTAAGGTTTGCAGCAAGATAATGTATGTGAAATGCTTTGAACAATGAAAGCGCTATAGAAATGTGTAGTATTAGGTACAGGCTTGACTTTATTTCATCTTGCTTGCTTTTTAAAATGGTACAGAATCTGTTCAACTCTGTTACTTGTCTTAGTATGTTTTATGTTGATACTTGCTTATTATAAAGAAATTTTAAAATGGCTTACACTTTCTTGCAGGTGGGGCACAATAATATTTAGCGTCTTTGTCTGCATTGGGCAGGTAGGTTAAACAAATAATGTTCATATCCTGCTCAGTGGCTAATTACAGAAAAGTAATAGATGCGTTCATTCCAAAGAACTCTGAAAATGTTTATATTAACCTGATTTGAAGAGACCTCATAGCTATGACTTGGATCCTGGTAGATTTGTGAGCGGAGTGGAGTCCATGGCACAGAACTTTTTCTGCTTCCCCTTCCTGCTGGAACCCCTTGAAAATCTTTTTTTCGGAGGGGGGGTGGACCAAAATGGGGATCTGAAGTGGGAGGGTGGGAAATTGATGCTATCCGTTTTTGGAAATGGGCCATAGGATCCAAATCACCAATGTGTCTGTTACATTGTTTTTCAGCTATTCAATTGAAATGTGATGCTTAATTTCTCTTTTGTAGGTGATCTTTGCTTTAGGAGCATTATTCAATGCTTTTTGGCTGATGGAAGCTGGACGGTTTGTATTTGGGTAAGCTCATATGTTAAAGTAGTATAAATATCTGCTCTTAATCACTACACTGCACTGGCATGTACTCTATCCTTGGGCCCCAGTAAGGTACAACTGGGGTGAGACTTGAACCAGGGATGCCCTGGTAAAAATCCTCTTAGTCAATGAAGCACTCTAGTAGGTTTCTCTTTAACTCTGAAAAATTAGATTACTTCCTTTTTGATTTTCTTGTACTGCTTAAGCTAAGAAAAAATCTTACACCAAGACTGACATACAGCTCTAATGTCTAAAAGCAGGGTTGTTATATGTGTTGCTTCAAACATCTGCATTCATGAACCTACATCTGCTTCCATTAGGATTGGTGGGGAGTCCTTAGCGGTGGCCCAAAACACCTATGCTGTCAGTTGGTTTAAAGGAAAAGAATTAAACCTTGTGTTTGGACTGCAACTCAGCATGGCTCGGATTGTAAGTATAGAAATCAGTGTTTTGTTCTCCCTGTTATAATTACCACCATACATTTGGTTGTAGATCTTGCTGTTGGTTCCTACCTGTGTTAATTAGGGTGGTAAGAACTCCAACAGTTACTGAAGTACACACATTTTAAAATTTCACTGTACAAATTCATAGGGCGAGGAACATTGGTGGAAAGTAATCTTGTGTGATATGAAGTGTGGATGACTTACAAGATGCCAATGCTTGAGTTCAAAGGTCACACAAACCTTTGACTATTGGTCTCCCAGCTAGATTTAAGGGTTTGAAGTAACTTACTGGAGGGATTTCGTATTTCTTGGGGTCTCAAATGGTACCTGCAAGGACAGTGCTTTCCTTCTGCTAAGGTGGCCCAGGCTTGTATGTGGTCTTTGGTTACAAAACATATCCTTCCACGGCATCAGTACAAAACATTGTTTTCAAATTTTTGGTTGTAGGCTGGTTCTTGTTCTTAACTGTGGAACTTTTGGCTGTGTTACAAACATTTTTCACACTGGTTCAGATGTGCCATCTAGTTCATGCCAGTCTGTTTAGTTCAAAACTGTCTCCAGCAATGTCCAGCAAACTTCCCAGAGGTTTTGCAAGTAAGGGCAAGATTTCTCTGTGAGTGTTCCCAGCATCTGACAGTAAAGTACCTCTGAAGTGGTACCATTTGAAGTGTTGCAACTCATAGCTCCAGATCCATCCTTGGTGCATTTTTCTCACTCCCTCCGGTGACCATTGTACTGGCTGGTTAGTGGGAATTCAATTGGATATAAATTGAACTGCATCTGCTCCTGTCAACTCCAATTAGATGTGTTTTCTGCTTACTGAGAAAGTTAGCTCAAAATACAAGTCGAATGAAGTGTATCCTTGGATAGAACTTCTTGAAGTGAAATTTATGGAGCTGAGGTTTCAAATTCAAAACTATACATATATGTGTGTGTGTGTGTGTGTGTATTATATCTGTTAGCAGGATACCCTTGGCAAAATGGTCCATATGCTGCCTCCTAAAAAATATACACTTTTGACAGCATTTAGTTTTCGCGGGCATACTGTTTCCTCAGAGGATGTTGAAAATAGCATTACCGAGGCTGATGGTCATCTCTTCCTAGGGGAGCACTGTGAATATGAATATAATGGGATGGGTGTACTCCAGAATACAAGATCTGCTGGGTTCTACAGGTCACACTACTCTTGGTGTAGTGCTCTTTATAGGTTAGTAAATACTCTTAAGTGATATTGAATTTGCATGACTCATCTAAGATTTCTGTATCGTGATGTAAGTGGAATGTGGTTCAACTTTTGCCCCAGCATAGTATATGTAAATAGTTCATATCTTGCTGCAGGCTGCCTGTGATTAATAGTATGCATGACACACTTGAATCTTTGACTCAGGGCTACATGATAGTGTTCCTGTCACCAGTCTGCTGAGAGCCACTGCGGTGACAGCTTGATCTGTCCAAGCAGGGCCTTTGGCAGGTGCCACCCTGCAAATGGCCAAGATTAGCAGCTGTCCGTAGATGTGTATTCTCTGTTGTGGCCCCTAATTTATGGAATGGTGCATCTGACGAGGTCAGGAAGGCTTCTGCTGTCCCAGCATTCCATAAACTATGCAAAACTAAGCAAAGTTTGAGTCCAGGGGCACCTTTAAGACCAACAAAATTTAATTCTGGGTATAAGCTTTTGTGTGCACGCACACTTCTTCAGATACATACAAAAGCTTATACCAGAATTAAACTTTGTTGGTCTTAAAGGTGCCACTGGACCCAAACTTTGTTCTGTTGCTTCAGACCAACAGGGCTATTCACCTGAATCTGTGCAAAATTGAATAATTCAGGAGGGCATTTTTACACAGGTGATAGGACTATATTGTAATGGCCTGGAAGATGTTTCAGTAGAGAGGAGGAGACTGTGGACTTATATTACTGTGTATATAGCAGAGGTTCCCACACTTATTTGGCCTTTTCAAAAAAAAATTACTCAGCGCCCCCCTGGAAATCTACTTTGAGGAAGTGGACAAAAAGATGCAGTTTGTAGATCTGTACCTGGATCGTTCCAGCGCCCCCCAGGAGGCAGTATTGCCCACTTTGGGAACCAGTGGACTGTATAGTATGAACTAGCTGTTGCTGTATGTAATATCCTAATATGAAATTTGCGCACTGCTGCACATGTCATACTGATACGTATTTCCTTAAACGCCTTCCTATTACATTGATTATTGGATACCCCAACCTGTTGACTACAGTGACTTACACTGTGTGATCTGCCTTGAGTCTCAGTGAGAAAGATGGACTATCAATAACATATATAAATAAAATAATTGATTTCTAGCCTTGTAGAAGTCACAGATCTTTAAAAAGGGGCTAAGTAGATTTATGGCAGGTAGGTCCATCAATGGCTGCCAAGAGGCAGTAGACTACTGAAACACCAAGCGCTAGGAGGCAACATCAGGGTAAGGGCTTGACCTCTATGCCGGGTTTGGCCCTCTTATGCCGGATTAGATGGACTGCTGGTCTGAACCAGCATTGCTTTTCTTAGGTTCCTTGGAAACATATGAGCCATGGTCCTTTTAAAAGAGAGAATAGATTTTCCTGTTTCCCTTTTGCTATTTAATTGGTTGTGGCAAGTGGGAGCTAATCACTTGGATATTTCAGAAGCTTCATGTCCCTTTGTGGCCAACACTTTACTCAAACTGCCTCTCTTGTCACTAAGAACAAGACAGCTGTGAAACTGCAATATACCGAGAGTGTATGCCAGTCAGTGTAGCAGCTGATAGCTATTTCAGGAATGGGAACAGCTGGCAACATCTGTATGAGAGTATTGAACAGTATTGCCTTAACTGGAGGTCACTGTACTCAGTGCTGTAAACAAGCCTTAGGCGGTCTGCGGTTCCTGATGTAGAACCCATTATCACTGTGACGTGCTGCACAATTAATGCAGTAAATCTGTAGCTGAACTGCACCACCATTTGAGTCAAATGGGAAGCCTTGCTTCAAACTTGGACCTTTTCTGTTCACTTTTTCTTGTGGAGTCACTATGCATTCTGGGAGTGGCTTGATTTCAGTCCAGCTTTCTATGCACACCATAATCATAGTCAAACTAGGGCTAGGGCCTCGACTAGGGCAAGGGCGTTTTCAGCCCCTACCTGGTGGGATGAAGCTCCCATATGAGATCAGGGCCCTGTGTAGGGCTGCCAAGCCGCGGCGGGGGATCTGCACGTCTTCACAGGATCCCTGCTGCGGGGGACAGTGATACGCATTGCACCGCCGTTGCCAGGATGTGACGCTATGCATCGCTCTGGCAACGGGGCTGTTTGGAGTCCCGTTGCCAGAGTGACGCATAGCGTCACATCCTGGCGACGGCGGTGCAACGCGTATTGCTGCCCCCCGCGGCAGGGATCCTGTGAAGACGTGCGGATCCCCCGCCGCGGCTTGGGAGCCCCAGCCCTGTGGGACCTTTTACAGTTCCGCAGGGCCTGCAAGACGGAGTTCTTCCGCCAGGCTTTTAACTAGGGCAATGGACGTCCCTCCCTCTCTACTGGGCCTCCCCTCAAGTGAGTCAGAACTGTAGTACCGTCTAAGGACCAAATCTTGAAATCGGTGAGGCTTTAGCTATAACTTGCACCTGATAAATGCTGTTGTATTTTATTGGTGTTTTTACTGTTTTAATTTTTATATACTGTATATTGTTTACTAAATCTGATGGAACCCTCCCTCAGCCCGCTATGTGGGGAGGGTGGGATATAAAGCTAATAAAATAAATAAATAAATAAAATTTGGCCTTTGAAGAAGCTGCACCTCAGTTGCATGATGTTGAGCCCTCCTGTGCTGTGTGACAAGCTGGTTTCAGACATGCCCAGATATTGCTCTGATTACACAGCTGTCTCTATGAGCTAATGTCTGGTACTAAAGAACAATTAGTGGCATTTGATCCATCGGGGATGTTTCCGATTTGTAAGCAATCCCTCAGTTAGTCACGGGGTGCTAATGTGTGCTGACTGGAACTGGAGGCCTCTGCTGTCACATGCTACATCTCTCTCTTGCTTTGCAGGTGGCGTAACGTGTATCTTTTCGTTACTCTGTGCTCTCTTCCTTGCTTATTTGGACCGAAGAGCTGAGAAGATTCTTTGTAAAGAGCAGGAGAAAAGCGGTAGGTGAATGTCAGTCTTCAGCAACAGGATTTTAATTTTTATAAACTATGTTTACTATAGAACAGAGGCAAAATGGTTCAACTTTCTCATTCCTTTCCTCACACTTGTGTTAGTTGGGAGGTGTGTAAAATTTCCCTCATTTAATAGAAAAACTCATACTTAGAAAGAATTGGCTTCCCTTGTGCTGGGTCTTGAGGTTCTTAGTTTTAAATATGAGAAATAGGAGCCCTTGCTTCATCTTGGTGAAGTTCTGGTAGACAGAGTCTAGTGGTGGGAAGATTTGTTTAATTGTGGGTGACCTTCAACCAGCTGGGACATCTCTTTGCTTCTGCAAACATTAGCAGTTAACATGTCTGTTTGTGGAAGGGCATTTCTTGGAAAAAGTTGAAGACCAAAGGGACTGTTCCTTGTGGGAAAGATATTAAACATCCTCCAGAGTGCAACTCAGTTTCACCATTAAATATGTAGACATCCTGTTTAGAGAAATTTATTGGCTTCTCATCTATATATCTAATAGCGAACTTGCCCCCGGAGTGTGGATCGCTAGATCAGCGCTCCGGGGGCAGCTGGGGGGCCGGGGGAGGTTTGTGCACACGTGGGCCAGTCCCCACGTGTGCACAAAAATAAAAAAAGTTGAAAAAAATCTCGGGGGGATGTTTAAATCCCCCCGAAAGTGCAAGAGGGTCTCCTGCGCGTGTGCAGGAGACGCTCTGCGACCTACCGGGCTTGCGTGCGGGGGAAGGGAGCGAACGGGGAAAGAGAGAGACTGGCCCCCGCGAGTATCGCGGGTCCCCCCTTGTCTAAACTGATGGTACAGTGAAAAGAGCTGTGGGCAAGGCAGAACATGAACAAACAGCCTAGATGCCACTGAATTCTAAATGTCTTTCTGCCTCGGGGAAGAAAATGACTTTGTTGGTGGCCGTTTTTTGGTCCATGCACTTTTTCTTTTTTGCCATCAAGTCACAGCAGACTTATGGGGACCCCGTAGGGTTTTCAAGGCAAGAGACACTCAGAGGTGGTTTGCCATTGCCTGCCTCTGTGTTATGACCCTGGTATTCCTTAGAGGTCTCCCATCCAAATACTAGGCAGGGCCGACGCTGCTTAGCTTCTGAGATATGACAAGATCCAGATAGCCTGGGCTATCCAGGTAAGGGCCCATGCACTGTAACTTACTTATAAACGGGGGGGGGGGGAATCTTCTTGCCCCAAGAGCTTGAGCTCAGAGGTGCAAGCCAGGCAAGCTTAAAGATGACTTTATATCACTCTGCAGATACATCTTTGAGATGAAAAATGCCTTTGGCAGGTGAACTTTCTAAAATGTAGAGGTAAAGCCATGTCTGTTCTTGCTACAGAAAGAACCACCTGCATAAAGGTTAACTCTATGACCACTTCCTTGAAGCATTCCTTTAAACTGTGGCTTACTAAAGCTAATGGCTGTTTCTTTTCTCTCAAGGTGAAGTGATTAAGCTAAGTGATGTCAAAGATTTCTCGTTGTCCCTGTGGCTCATATTTATCATCTGCGTCTGTTACTATGTGGCTGTCTTCCCATTCATTGGACTTGGAAAGTAAGTGCATGTTTCACAGTGTGTTCTCAGTCTGGCCCTTTTTGGTGTGTTACAAAATGTTAGTGGTTCATCATACACGTCTGCTCTCCATTGCAGTGATTTAGCACTTCCTTATATAAGTATTTCCTACATGGATGTTGCCTTCATGAAAAGAAATACCTGTTGTACAAGTGGGTATGTGTGTGTCTGTTTTGCATGGCCTCATCTGGCAGTTACGCCTCTTGATGGTGGACCCAGTATCACTTTTAAGCAGCTTTTTAACAAAGCATACTTGTTCTGTGCCTCGTCCTTTGCGTTCATCTGATACTGTTAATTTTAAGAAACGCACATTCTAGCATATATATTTAACACCAAGCAATTGAATGATGAGTTTTAGTGCCATGACTGTCTCCAAAACCAGTAATTTATTCGTATGGCTTTCAGGTTTTGCACAGGTGATAAATAACAGTACTTGCCAAAACGATCTCCATCTGGTATCGCAAGACAAACTAAGAAAAAGGGAAGGGTCCAAATACTGCAAAAGTAATTCATTAAGGCCACCTGATGCCAAAACTCAAAGAACTGCTGTGGCCAAGGAGGTTGTTCCTTAAGGACCAGACTCCATGGTGTGCTGGCAAAAACACATTTCTTAAATGTGCATTGCCACTGAGCACGAATGTTGGGACTGGTGGGCTAGGAGGGATTTGCTGTGGAGAGACTCAGTGTCATGGGAAGATTAAATGCAGATTTCCAGGAAAAAAATGGACGTTTAGAGGACATTGCATTTATTTTAATAATTCCTTGTTGAACCTAAGTATTCAAATGATTTGACAACATAAAACGCATAATTTATAACTTAGCTAGCATATAAAACTCTACTATTTGGCATATTTATAAGCTGTAAATGTCTAGACTTTTCCTAACCATAACCTGGTGACTTCAATGATTACAGCTCTGTCATGTACTCAGGTCTTTAACACATATCCAGAATGGTCCACATTGTGAAGCCAGTACATGATGGCTTTAACGTTAAGCATGTGAAGTCATATTAGAAGTAGCAGAGAATGGATAACTCCACATAGAAACTATAGTGATGGTCATGGAGCATTTTCTGACATGGTAATCTAGTCTTCCTCTGTGTTCCCATTGCTCTTAGGAGCTAACCCTTTGGAAAGCTTTAGGTTAAATGGTTCAGTAGTGCTGGTTGTGTTTGTACCCATAGACCTAGCCAGTAAGTAAGTTGTGGTAGTAAACAGGTCCTTAAATGATGATTTTTTTTAACTCTTAAAAATTCTGTCTGTAGATTTATGCAGAGAAGTATATATTGCAATTTTTGGTTCATGTAGAACACTTTGCCTATACAGACAGTACAGGGCTGTCTGCTGTAAATCTATGCCAGGCTCGGCTCTGTAACAGGCATAAAACTTTACACACTTTTTTATTTAGCACAGTTTTTTCTACTGATGTTCGGAATTGAAAGAGGGCTTTGGAAGGGGGCATTGATATCCCATCGCAACCACTGGGAATCCTGTTTAAACTCTCCCCTCTAAACCTTGACTCCTTTCCACCAAGCTGTCCTTAAATGAAGACAGGTTTTTCCTCATCCAAAGAAGTACTCCCCTGGGTCAGGTCTTTCTCTGTTGAGGAAAGACTTAGCGGAAGGAAGTAATAGGATCCAGTCTATTGACTGTATTTGGGAGAGCTGTTTCTGCTTGCTTGATCCAAAAGGAAGAGGGAATTGCTTTATCTTCAGCAG